AGTTTTTTATTCCAGCTTCTGCAGACACCCCTCTTTTTTTTCCAAGAGCAAAAAGTGTTTTTCACTCGGTCCATTCCTCCATTCATTCCCCACAAATTAGAAAAAAATGAAATATAATCCATGGATGTAATTGTAAGCTTAAAATACAACAATAAGGAACCTATGCTTTAAAAATTAGGTGGACATTAGGACCTGGAAGAAAATTCCCCTTCTCTTGTGGGTGGCTACCCACCTCCCTTGATAATCCAAAAAAGGGGTATTTCATGCATAGTCAAGTGTCTGGAAACCATAGTAAAGTGGGGACTAGGAGAAACAGTTCTGTCAAAGAGGAAGGTATAATTTGAAGTTAAAGAAGTTTTAAAAATCCACTACCAGATTATATCAATCAAAGGACTAGACTGGTTGAGGATTAGCAAATTAATTTATAAGTTGACACTCAAAGATTCCATGCATGGAATTTTCAAGTGTTGTACTAGACTAGAGACTTCTACAGTACAATTCTCAGTGAAGGTAAAACTCAGGCCAAAGGCCTCAGCCCATTGGGCTGCAAGGTGGGTGTGGCCTGATGAGACAAGGATTTTCTCACAGTTTCTGAGCAATCAATAAATATTTGTAAAATGAATAAAAGATTGATTTAAGAACTATGACGAAAGAAGGGGGTAAAAATCCAGCAAACAGTTTACTATCTGTTGCAAGGATAAGTCCTAGTTTTGTTTTTAAAGGATTTGATTTTTAAATTGTGTATTCTTACTAGTCATCACATCAATTTCAAACTAGTCTGAGAAATTCTCATTTACTTACCATGTTTCTTATTCAAATAATGTCTGATTGCCTATTTATTTCCAAAGATGGATTTGGGGCCATGCTAAAAACAAATATCTGATTTGTGCTTAATAATGTCTAAAGAGAAATGACTTCCAAGTGGGAGATATCACTCCATTTCTTAACCTTCAAAGTGGCCACCTGCAAAAATGGTAAATGCTTGATAGTACTAAGTGCTGTTGAGAGTATACAGAACAGGCACTGTAGGTGGCAGTGAGAACTGGCGATGATCTGGAAGGCATCTTGGCAGCCTATATTCGGCAGGTCATTTTCAACCCCCTTATCCTCTGACCAGTCATTCACCAGGTATTTCTGGAGCCTGTGTTCTTCTGAGCTCCTGGGACTCAGTGGAGAAGAAGGGAGACAGGGGTCCTGCGCTTTTGAAGCTCACATTCCAGAGGGGAAGACAAAATGATGTAATAGCAGGTGAAGTGGATTTGATTCTAAACTACAATGGGGTGAAGGAATATTAAAGGATCTTTACTGGAGGATAGCATGATCATTCCTAGTAATTCTACTACTGGGAATTTACTCTGTGAATACACTCACAAATCTCCAGGAGGGGGCAGGGAGTATGCAGGAGGCAGCCAATCAAGGATTCTCATCATTGATGTTTCTCTCTCTCTCTCTCTCTCTCGCCCTTCCTCTCTGAAATCAATAAAAATAATTCTGCAAGATGCAATATCAAAAAAGCTTCCAGATACATTTTAAATGAAATTTAAAAAGAAAGGCACAGGACATTGTATATAGGGTTACATGAAGAAAAACATCTACAATTGTACACAATTTGTTTTCTAGAAAATCAGACAAGAATTTGTTGGTGATGTATATATTTGGAGAAAAGCCTAGGAGCAAACTAAGGAGAATTCTTTCTTACTATTTTTACTGTTTATTTTTCTATAGTATTTGAATTTTATTGTGATGTATTTGTATGTCATTGAAAAACAAGTCAAAAAAGTTAAGTAGTGAGATAACAGGTCACTTTTCTAGTTTTAATTTTCCATGTTGAAAAACTCAGAATGTAACATAATATTAGAAATAACACATTTAAATGGCAATTTTTCTAGACTTGTTTTAAATGACAAAATGTACACCGAGTCATGGCTATTTGCTTAGATACTTTCCAACGGAGGGGCTATGGAAGGTTAGGAAAGATAGAGGGGGGTGTTGGGAGGGTGTCCAGCAACACCACTAACAAGACTTATGAGAAGATTTATTGTGTGTGTTTTTAACCCATAACCAGATAGATA